GAATTTTAAAAATATTAAAAAAAATTTTTTTAAAATCCTGCAAGCAGCTGTGCAAGTCACATGTCTCTAAAGGAGCCAAGAAAAATCAGGAAAAACTGAGGCGGTAAAGAACCGAAAGCTTCCTGAGACTATCACTCTGAAAACAAGAAAACAAAACAGAAAGCCAAGCCTGTTCTCTGAGATCACCTTTCAGCAAATAACCAGAAACTGCACACAAATACAGGAAATTACTCATAAGATCAGTACCCTATTCAAAAAACCATCAGAGTGAGTAAATTACTCCAAAGAAAAGAAATGGGCAGGGGAATGAAACTGCGAGAAAAAGAATGAACTAAACACAATTAAAGAGAATGTTGATACTGTGATACATGTAGGGAAATTAACATTAGTAGACAATTTGTAAAAATTATAAAAAAAATTGTCTAATTTACTGACCATTTTCACTAAATATTCAACAAAACATTAGTTTTAAAAAGAATAACCGTGACGCTAAGAATCTCAATTTAGAAATTAAATCTAAAGTAAAATTTGCCCACAATAATAAAACACCTTAAAAAGATCACAGCAACACTTCTAACGTCAGACCATACACATCTGTCTCAAATCCAAGACAACATTTATTGGCCCAGGAGGACTGTAGGGACTCCACTACCAATTATTCCTCACTTCAGTGCCCTGTGTCAATCCATCTCACTGAGTGTTTTCCTCTCTTTCACCGACCCTCCACCTTTCCAAGTAAGATGTCTCTCTCCAAGGAACAGCCTCTCCTAGCATTATACCCAAAGCACATAAAAAATTGTGAGGAATATAGACATTACAACTGGGGTGGTTAGGAGCATAGTAAATAAAACAAATGTTACATGTAGTTTATTTTTTTAAAAAAAGGCAACATATTAGGCACAATCTCTCATGGAGGAGTCTTTAGCGAATTAAGCTGCTAATTAAAAAATGCAAAATATTAAAGGGAATCAATATTAGGACTGCAGGTCCCTTTCTTTCCTCTCCCAGAATGGCTACTGAAGAGAATCCAATAACAGGAAACAGCAGTTGTGCTTTTCTCTCTGCGAAACTACCCTACCCCCCATTTTCCCAGGAATAGTTATCTGAGACCCCAGTCCACTTGCCTATCTTGAAGGAAGCATCTGTAAGCATCCTCTTCCCCAAGTCCCTTGTAAAAAAAGTATAACATCCCCCTCTAACTCTTAGTGGGGCTGGACTTCTGCTTGAGAGCCAGCCCGGCAGTTTCTCCTCAATAAACTGTCTTCCTTTGCCTGCAGCGGGTTCTGTCCATCCTCGGCAACCTTACAATCAAGACTGTTTATGTGGCAAGGTATGGGTAGAATATGAAAATGATTGTTTCAGATAGAACAGAAATTGATATACAGTAGAGAATATTTAATAATCTGCAAACATTATGAAAATTCCAAGAAAAAGGGGGGGGAAAATCAGCATCACTAACTCGTGGGTAAAGAAATGTAGGTTTAGAGAGATAAAAGAAAACAAAGATAACAAAGAGCTTTGGTGGCCTAATGGTAAGGAGCTGGAATCCCTAAGGCACACAGTTCAAATGCATCCGCTGCTCCATGGGGGAAACATGGGCAATCTTCTCTTGTTCGACTGTTAATTTAAACGCTAATGCAAATGACAAGTCATTAGTAATTTCCCTTTGAAAGAAACGAAGTATGGACAAAGAGAGTTATGAATGAAAATTAGTCCTAATGGCCGATGCTAAGCTGAAAATTATTACCAAAAAAATTAAGGAAATTTACAGGCAATGGATAAATTTCTAGAAAGCAGAACAGCTACCACAAATCCTGATTATATTCAAACTAAGCAAAAGAGGGAAAGGTGATAAAGGAGGTGAGAAAGTAGTATGTAAACCAATATAAAATAAACGGGGTTTTTTTCAATTGTTAAAAAAACATAGTATCTATGAAGCACAATAAAGTGAAATATAAGGGGAAAGATAATATCCAACAAACAGGATTCAAATTTCTTACAGGCAGCTGTACCAAATCTGTGAGGGGGCTTGATAAAATCAATGTTGTTGTTGTATTGTTGGTGTTGTTGTTAAGTGTCTTGAAGTCGTCTGCGACTCAGAGTGACCCTATGTACAACAGCCTTAAACCCTGATCTATCCTGTGCCAATCTTATTGACTCTGACACACCTACCCCCATTATCCCAGTCACTGAATCAATCCATCTCAACGAGGATCTTCCTCTCTTGCGCTTTCCCTCCACCCTCCCTAGCATGATGTCCCTCTCCAAGGACTGGTCCTCCCCTTCCAGCATGTCCAAACTATGTCAGACAAAGATTGGAAAGGGAGGGGGGATAGAAAAAAAAAAAGAAAGAAAAAACACAGAAAATCTTCTGAACATTCCGAAGATCAAAGAAGTTAGACTCAAAACATGAAAAATTTTGTTTATATATACAAAAATGTTAATACACTAAATAAAGGGGAAAAGAGATAGGAGTAAACCACAAGCTCATTTCATACGAGGAATGAAAATTGATTGAAAATTTAATCGGCAATTAATATGATTCACAATCCTTTTCTAAATCGTGTAACAAGAACAGGCTTCATAAGAGAAGAAATAAAATCTACAAACACCTACAACCAATATCGTACTTAAATGGTAAAAGAGTTTCTGCAAAGATCAAGAACAAGGGATAGAGGTAAAATTATTGGCTATTCTACCTCGAACTGGAGATCTAGTGAAGTGCAGTAAAGAAATAAAATGAAATGGAAAAGAAACGCAAACTAGAAGGCTGAAATGTCACTACTAACAGATGGTCACAGTGTGTGAAATTCAAAGAATCTACAACTCAAGTAATACAATTTAAATTTGCATGGGAAAAAAACTGTCTGAAAGGATTATATGTATGAAAACAATGTGGTGCATTGGAAAAGGGACTGGACGACGCGAAAGAGGACTGAGGAAGATATGCAACAATGAATGAATGAAACCCCCCCAAAAAAAAACTGCATGGGAAAAGAGAAAATTTAATTCACTTATTAAGCACCTAAGGATAATGCGTGAAACAGCTGAAGCACACAGCACAGAGTACACTTCACGAACTCCTGAATCACTTGAATGACGGAGGGAGGTAAGAAGCAGGTAAGAGGTGGCCAAGTTCACCCTGCGCTCACCAAACACGCTGAAAACCAGAGACCAGGGCGGAGGATGCGTCCTCGTCACCGAAAACAGAGACAGATGCTTGCCTCCCTTTCCTGGAAAGCAAGCACGAGTTGCTTTTAGAGATCGACCAAATAGGACGATCTTGCATCGGAATCTCCCTCCAATTGCAGGACGCACCCCGAGTTCCCGATGCAGGGAACCTGGGGCTCGCGGAGGAGGTGCAGGCGGCAAGAGGCCCCGGCTCCTGCGGTCCTGGAAGGGGGAGGGGGTCGGTCCTCGATCATCGACCACAAAAACGAACCCTCCAGGGGCTGCCAACCGGGCTCCAGAACTTCGGACAGAAGCTACCGCAGCCCGTGAGAATATTTACCTCCGAGGACTGGGGTAAAGGAAGGGGG